AAGCATATCCTTCAAAGACTCTCTGGAACTCTCCATATGTTAACAAACTGACTCAAGCAGGCGTCCCAGATGTAAGCACTGATGCTCAGCCTGAAGTTCATGTGCAGAGAGGGAGCCGATCAGATGCTAAATGAAGCACATATGTGTTTCTTATCGAATATTTTATGGTTAGTCATCGGATTTCTGCGGTGTGGTCACTGTTTCCTTTCCAATGCTCCATTAAATTGATATAGTATTATTATATCAGGAAACTGAATTCCTGACATTTATTTAAATTTCTCCAGTTGTTTATTTGCTTCTTGTGAAATTGCTTGCTCAGGAAATCACACTTCTGTAACTATTTTGATAGCCAATAACCTTTCATTTACACTACCATTTAGATTTTTAAAAAAAAGTTTTTGAAAGAAGTCTCTTCTGCTCACCAAAAATGTATTTATTTGATCAAAAATACAGTAAAAACTCAAATATTCTGAAATATTATTACAATTTAAAATAACGGTTTTCTATTTGAATTTTTTTTTAAATGTCTTTTATCTCTGTGATCAAAGCGGGATCATTACTCCAGTCTTCAGTATCACATGATCCTTCAGAAATCATTCCAATATGCTGATTTGCTGCTCAAGAAACATTTATTATTATCAGTGTTGACAACAGTACTGCTTCATATTATTGTGGAAACTGGTACATTTTATTTTCAAGATTCTTTAATGAATATAAAATGTTCAAAAGCTCAAAATAGAAATATTTTGTAACGTACTTTACTGCCATGTTTGACCAATTTAGTGCATCCTTGCTGAATAAAAGTATTAATTTCTTTCAAATGGTACTGTACATCACAGCCTTGAACCATGATTTTCTACTTGCTTATTTGAATTATTTTTATTTTTTAAATATGTGTATCTTAATCTCCTTAGCAACAATATAGCAACACCCAAGCAACGGAACATTTTCTTAAAAAAATGTGTATGTACACTGAACAAAATTATAAACGCAACACTTTTGTTTTTGCCCCCATTTTTCATGAGCTGAACTCAAAGATCTAAGACTTTTTCTATGTACACAAAAGGCCTATTTCTCTCAAATATTGTTCACAAATCTGTCTAAATCTGTGTTAGTGAGCACTTCTCCTTTGCCGAGATAATCCATCCACCTCACAGGTGTGGCATATCAAGATGCTGATTAGACAGTATGGGGGGTCCGAAAACCAGTCAGTATCTGGTGTGACCACCATTTGCCTCACGCAGTGCAACACATCTCCTTCTCATGTTTATCAGGTTGTTGATTGTGGCCTGTGGAATCTTTGTCCACTCCTCTTCAATGGCTGTGCGAAGTTGCTGGACATTGGCAGGAACTGGAATACGCTGTCGTATACGCCGATCCAGAGCATCCCAAACATGCTCAATGGGTGACATGTCCGGTGAGTACGCTGGCCATGCAAGAACTGGGATGTTTTCAGCTTCCAGGAATTGTGTACAGATCCTTGCAACATGGGGCCATGCATTATCATGCTGCAACATGAGGTGATGGTCGTGGATGAATGGCACAACAATGGGCATCAGGACTGTTGCAGCTTGCGCAAAACGAAAACAAAGTTACACTAGCGGTGCACCAGCTTAAAATGACGTGCTTATCAGAGGCACGGAGGTTAATACATGTATTAGATGAACTGTAACAGAGGAACCAAACAGCGAAGCTTTATTTCCACTAGAGAAATGCCTGTTGATAGTGTGGCATTTAAATATTGCTGTAAAAAAACTGCTGCTAAAGAGCGAATACATAAGGGATAATGCACGGCTTGCTGTACATTGAACGATTTTAATGCACGACGTGAATGCAAGTACCACGCGACGATCTTGGAGGTGAAGATGCTGGATGTGGAGGTCCTGGGCTGGTGTGGTTACACGTGGCCTGCGGTTGTGAGGCCGGTGGTATGTACTGCCAAATTCTCTGAAACGCCTTTGGAGACGACTTATGGTAGAGAAATTAACATTCAATTAATGTTAATTGTCAACAGCTCTGGTGGACATTCCTGCAGTCAGCATGCCAATTGCACGCTCCCTCAAAACTTGCGACATCTGTGGCATTGTGCTGTGTGATAAAACTGCACATTTTAGAGTGGCCTTTTATTGTGGCCAGCCTAAGGCACACCTGAGCAATAATCATGCTGTCTAATCAGCATCTTGATATGCCACACCTGTGAGGTGGATGGATCATCTCGGCAAAGGAGAAGTGCTCACTAACACAGATTTAGACAGATTTGTGAACAATATTTGAGAGAAATAGGCCTTTTGTGTACATAGAAAAAGTCTTAGATCTTTGAGTTCAGCTCATGAAAAATGGGGGCAAAAACAAAAGTGTTGCGTTTATAATTTTGTTAAGTATAGCTAACGAGTTTTCAGATATGTGACCCTGGAGCACAAAAGCAGTGTTAAGTCGCTGGGGTATATTTGTAGCAATAGCCAACAATACATTGTATGGGTCAAAGTTATTGGTTTTTCTTTTATGCCAAAAATCATTAGGATATTAAGTAAAGATCATGTTCCATGAAGATATTTTGTAAATGTCCTACCGTAAATATATTAAAACTTAATTTTTGATTAGTAATATGCATTGCTAAGAACTTCATTTGGACAAATTTAAAGGCGATTTTCTCAGTATTTAGATTTTTTTGCACCCTCAGATTCCAGATTTTCAAATAGTTGGATCTCTACCAAATATTGTTCTATCCTAACAAACCATACATCAATGGAAAGATTATTTATTCAGCTTTCGGATGATGTATAAATCTCAATTTCGAAAAAAATTGACCCTTATGACTGGTTTTGTTGTCTAGGGTCACATATTTGTTCAGATGACGTCATGTGAAATGCAGTCGCTGCTGGTGATTTTAATGCATGTGCCTGCAGTAACTGAGCTTCTGTTCCCCATCTGTGTGTTTTACAGCCTTGGCTCCGGTAAGGTGGAACCAGAACCGTGCCTGAGCGAACAACTGTTGCTGCTGAGAGATGCTACTGACATGAAAGAGCCTGCTCTACTTATCTGTGTGTGTGTGTGAGTGTGTGTGTGTGTGTGTGTGTGTGTGTGAGTGAGTGTGAGCAAAGTGTGTGTGTGTGTACGGTTACTGGTACAAGGGAACTTGGTTAGGTTAAGAAATTGAAAGAAAATGTAAAGAATATTCTTACATTTGTAGCTTGCCAGAAATAATTTATGACATGGATTTTTTTTGCTTTCTCTTTTTCATTTTTTAGGGTAGATGGTTCTTTTTTTTTTTTAAAGCTGCATTTGTATGATTTGAAGACTTGTGTAATAAGTTTGACTGTAAGTTTCAGTTTGGTTGATTCTCTCTATTTGTCCTGAATTATTTAAGTTGTATTCCTATTTTTCTCTGTTTTAAGGTAAGATGAAATTACCCTTTAACTATCTGCACAGCACATGTAAGATATAAAGACACAGGCACATAGTATGCTGATTGTTTACTATGTTTTTGTTTGCTTTTGTAACTTAATACTGTATGTTCGGGGAAACTGACTAATTAGAACCATGCTTCATATTGTAAATAATCATTGTTGGGAAAAAAAGGCTATAAATCTCTGTCATAGGGCACTTTGAGGCGGTTAATACATTTTAAGACAACTAATAAAGTTTTATTTACACTACATTGAAATCCTCTTCTCTCTGCATGCAGAAGCTCTTGTAACACATATTTGCACTTATATATTGTTGCTCTTTTGTTGGTTTTGATTGCTTCTATTGTCCTCATTTGTAAGTCGCTTTGGATAAAAGCGTCCGCTAAATGACTAAATAAATAAGTAACACTGCTGTATGTTGCAGTTGTCAGGTAAGACTGGTTAAGCATCAACCTAATTCTCACTATAATATAGTCACTGTTGGCCAAATAATGTGCAATATTGTGGTACAGAATGATTACCACAGTCATCTACCATGATTTTATATGGACCTCCAAAAAACAAAAGCATCAAACATTCACTTTTTATTTTTGTTTTTTTAGTGTCAGCCAGTGTTGGGCAGTAACTAGTAACTCGTTAAAGTAATATAACTTTTTGCAGTAACTAGTAGTGTAACTTATTACTAATAAGATTTCAGTATTATCATTAGCTATGCCATTACAACTTCCATGAGGCGTGAAGGACAATTAATGTAACTAGTAGTGTAACGAATTACCGTTGCCAGAAAGTAATAAGTAAAGTAATAATATTACTTTTGAGAAGGAGCAACGAGTAATACATTTTTAAAAAATGTAATAACGAGCCCTACACCTGAGAATGAGCAAATTTGCATGAAAGAATAAAAATAACATTTTATATATATATATATATACTGTATATAATGTATGTGTTTGTGTGTACTGGTTTGGGTGGTTTATGGGGACACAAATTTGTATAATGTTATGGGTATGAAAGCGGTATTACAATGTGAAGGTGGTTTATGAGGACACTGAATAGGCTTAAAAAAAACATACCGTTTTTTTTTTTTTTTAATCTAAAACTGCACAAAGTTTTTGTAAGTGTAGGGTGATAGAAAATAGTTTGTGCAGTATAAAAATCATTACATCTATGGATTCCCCGTAAACCAACAGTACCAACAGTGTGTGTGTATGCATTTTTATTTATATGTAAATATATTTATATGGATGAATACACACATAAATATTTAGATTAATACACAAAAGAATATATATCGTCAAAAAAAACACCTTTTATTTTTTTCAGATATGCTCTTAAGAATCAAAATGTGTTATAATATCACCAATCATAAAAAAAACAAAACAAGGATCTCCTTTTTAAATAGACAAGGATATATACTCTTTAACAACAGTATGCAAAACTTGCTTGTGAGCATAATGTGCTCCAGTAATGAGCTGCAGTACTGCGCGCTGTCGGTAGGTGTCGCCAGTGGACGCGGCGCGGCGCTGCTGTAACGTGAAATGTGATGCTCAGCGCGAGCGCGGCTCTTTAATGCCAAGAGAAACTCCAGAGACGCAACAGACTGAGCAGCAGAAGAGAAGAGCCATGCAATGAGAGCGCTACCCTGACCCAAACCTCCGATTCACAAACTCAAACCCCGTGTTTGCATGCGTTTGACTCCCAACTTTAAGAAAAGGACGTGGTGTCGTTGTATAAATGTATTTTTTTCCATTAATAGTGGAACTCTATAGACAGATTTAATAGCTTTTATGAAGTTCTCATCAGCACTGAGGATGCGCGACAGAATGACGGGACTTTCTCCGCGGAAACGACGCGCTTTGGATGTGTTTGTGTGTTTGTGTTTGGTTTCTTTGGCTTATTCCTTCAACATTGACTTGCAACATACCTTGGTGTTCCGAGGACCAGATGCGACGTTTTTTGGATACTCAGTCCTGGAGCACGTCCATGACAACACACGCTGGTGAGTACATAACTGGAGGCAGAATTAATACATTTATGCGTGTTTAAATGGTGAAAATTAGTATTCGAACTGTACCGTGCTTTTAAAGGCGGTCTGCGTCTTCAATGGAACTTCTCTCTGTTCGTCTCACGCAACTCCAATTTATTCTGTGGCCCCTGGTGCAGTAAGCCACCGCTCAACTGTCTTACGACTTTATAAAAATCAAAACGAAAGTTTTATGATATATAAATCGATAATGACCAATCAGTGCATCGCCTGAGTTTTGCCGCTACCTTCGCGCTCGAGCGGTCTTCGGTTGCCAAGGTTACCTCCTCAGGTAAACCTCACCTTTCTCGAGCATCAGGTGGTCACTGAAATCTTCTTAATGATATGTGAATAATTAAAGCAGTGGTCTAACTGTAAGCTATACTTTAAAAACCTCTAGCCGTCTGTTGAAACAGCGTTAAATGTCATCGCGTTGGTGCCGCTTGCGGGTAACGCATTACAAGTAACGCGCGTTACGTATTCTTCTTCTGCATTTTACTGTACGGACGTAACTTTACTTTCCTTCAGCCTGAGGCTTATTCATTTCACTTTTGGTGTGAAAAGGCTTTTATATATTTGCCAAAAATAGAACTTTTTTATTTTAAAAAATGTCTTTGATGATCCAGTTCAACCGTACTAATAATCAAAAGTTACTCTAGAGTCAAACATTTGTTGCTGAAGTGTTGAAATTTCTTCTTCTGCATTTTACTGTACGGACGTAACTTTACTTTCCTTCAGCCTGAGGCTTATTCATTTCACTTTTGGTGTGAAAAGGCTTTTATATATTTGCCAAAAATAGAACTTTTTTATTTTAAAAACAAACAAGCAAGCCCTGTCCAGATTTAAAAAGTAACGTAACGCATTACTTTCCGTAAAAAGTAACTAAGTAACGTAATTAGTTACTTTTTTATGGAGTAACGCAATATTGTAACGCATTACTTTTAAAAGTAACTTTCCCCAACACTGCCGCTAGCACAGCACGTCAAATGTAAAATATCTTAAACGCTTTTTAAACAGTTTTGTATTAAATAAAACTGTAATGAAGTTACTATGGTTACCTCAGGTGAACGCTAACGTCGGATCAGCGCTAGGAAAAACATGAATTATTTACGTTTTCTGTGTGAATTGTCTTGTTAATTGTGATTTATCTTTGTGTTGGATTGTCACAGTGGCTCCAAAAAGCCATTCGGACAATTTAATCATAGTTAAAATGTATATTATTGCGTTAGATGATAAAATATCAAACCAAGTTGCATTTATTTTGGAACTATTTAATCTATTAGAAGTCCGTTTCAAACCAGGCTGAGCAAAAATGAACAAGAATATGGAGTTAATTCTGGGAAAAGATCCTTCTGCATTTGGACAGTGACATTTGGTTTGATGTTTTGTTGTCTAATCTAATGCGGTGTAGGCTATTATGCATATGCAATTCTTTAGCATTGCTCAGCTCAGGCTACTTTTGTAACTCAACTCTTGCCATTACATTTCAGACATGCAACTTTAAAAAAAATCTCTTGTGACTGTACAGATGTTAAGACTTTCTTTCAAGGGCTGTCCTACAGTTTAAAGGGAAACACTGGCCAGCGCCCAAATCATTGCCTTTGCTTCAGTGGAGATGATGTAGTTCTTGTAGAGCCAAACCATGACAGTATGACAAGGCAGAACCACCTCCAGGGCTAATTCACTTATTAGACAGCCATGACACTTACAGACAAAACACAGACCAATGAAAAATTTTCCATTTTGTAATGAGCAAAAGCTGTCTGTTCCAGGTAACCTATAGTCTGAGGTCAGAAGTTGTGTTGTGATGTACAGTGACCGTGTGTTTCTCCTGATGTCTGTAGGATTGTGGTCGGGGCTCCCAGAGCAAACTCATCATTCAGCAGTTCAGTTCAGTCACCCGGAGCTGTATACAAGTGCCGGATCCGCAACAACCCAGAGCAACGCTGCACTGAGATGGACCTCGGCAGAGGTGTGTATCTCACAAATATCCAGAGTACATAGCAGATCTTACTTTACCCTCATACATATAGTTAGGGCTGGACAATAATTCAATATCAATATGTATCGCGATATAATTTTTTTCAATAACGGTGATATGATTTTTAAACACATTTCCGATATTTCGATATACATTACTAGTGTTTCCCATACATTGATTTATTTGTGGCGTTTGACTTCGTTGAATAAACATGAGCACTGCACGTTTCAAAATCATAACACGGCGTGGGTGTTTTATATGAATGCATCTCTGATTTTTTTTTTTCTGCAGAAACTCAGAGCATCTTTCATACCCTTTATACTGGCTAAAGCACATTTGTTTCAATCTATAAGAATAATCAGCCTACACTACCAGTCAAAGTTTTTGGACAGTAAGATTTTTAATTTTTTTTTATTTTTTTTTTAGAATTCTCTTCTGTTCACCAAGCCTGCATTTATTTGATCCAAAGTACAGCAAAACCAGTAAAATGTTGAAATATTTTTACTATTTAAAATTGCTTTCTATTTGAATA